TTCTTTTCTTTTTTATTCTTTTTTTTTTTATTCTTTTTCTCTTTTTCTTTTCTCTTTTATTCTTTTCTCTTTTGTTCTTTTCTCTTTATTCTTTTCTCTTTTTTTTTCTTTTTTTTCTTTTTGTTCTTTTCTCATTATTCTTTTCTCTTTTATTCTTTTCTCTTATTTTTTTTTGTTCTTTTCTCTTTTGTCTTTTCTCATTTGTTTTCTCTTTTATTCTTTTCTCTTTTATTCTTTTCTCTTTTATTCTTTTCTCATTTGTCTTTTCTCTTTTATTCTTTTCTCTTTTATTCTTTTCTCATTTGTTCTTTTCTCTTTTATTCTTTTCTCTTTGTTTCTTTTCTCTTTTATTCTTTTCTCTTTTATTCTTTTCTCATTTGTTCTTTTCTCTTTTATTCTTTTCTTTTTTATTCTTTTCTCTTTTTTCTTTTCTCATTTGTTCTTTTCTCTTTTATTCTTTTCTCTTTTATTCTTTTCTCTTTTTCTTTTCTTTTTTCTTTTTTTCTTGCTTTTATACTTTTCTTTTCTCTTTATTCTTTTTTTTTCTTTTTTTTCTTTTATTTTTTTTTCTCTTTTATTTTTTCTTTTTTATTCTTTTCTCTTTTTTTCTTTTCATTTATTTCTTTTCTCTTTTATTCTTTTCTTTTTTATTCTTTTCTTTTCTCTTTTTTTCTTTTTTCTTTTTCTCTTTTTTATTCTTTTTTTTTTTATTCTTTTCTCTTTTATTTTTTTCTCTTTTTTCTTTTTTATTTTTTTCTTTTTTTTATTCTTTTCTCTTTTATTCTTTTCTCTTTTTTATTTCTTTTCTCTTTTATTTCTTTTCTCTTTTTATTCTTTTCTCTTTTTTTTTCTTTTCTCTTTTATTCTTTTTTCATTTTTTCTTTTTTTTCTTTTATTTTTTTTTCTCTTTTTTTCTTTTCTTTTATTCTTTTCTCTTTTGTTTCTTTTCTTTTTTATTCTTTTCTTTTTATTCTTTTTCTCTTTTATTCTTTTCTCTTTTATTCTTTCTCATTTTCTCTTTTTTCTTTTCTTTTATTCTTTTCTCTTTTATTCTTTTCTCTTTTATTCTTTTTTCTTTTATTTTTTCTTTTTTTTTTTTTTTTCTCTTTTTTTTCTCATTTTTCTTTTCTCTTTTTATTCTTTTTCTCTTTTTATTCTTTTCTCTTTTATTCTTTTCTCTTTATTTTTTCTTTTCTTTTTATTCTTTTCTCTTTTTATTCTTTTCTCATTTTATTCTTTTCTCTTTTTTTCGTTTCTCATTATTCTTTTTCTCTTTATTCGTTTCTTTATTTTTTCTCTTTTTTCTTTTCTCATTTTTTCTTTTCTCTTTTTATTCTTTTTCTCTTTTATTTCTTTTTATTTGTTCTTTTCTCTTTTTATTCTTTTTCTCTTTTATTTTTTCATTTCTTTTTTTTTGTTCTTTTCTCTTTTATTCTTTTTCTCTTTTATTTTTTCTTTTTATTTCTTTTCTCTTTTATTCTTTTCTTTTTATTCTTTTTCTCATTTGTTCTTTTCTCTTTTATTCTTTTTTTTCTTTTTTTATTTTCTTTTCTCTTTTTTCTTTCTTTTCTCTTTTTTTTTTCTTTCTCTTTTCTTTTATTCTTTTTCTTTTCTCTTTTCTCTTTTTTTATTTTCATTTCTTTTATTCTTTTCTCATTTTCTTTTCTCTTTTATTCTTTTCTTTTTATTCTTTTTTCTTCTTTCTCTTTATTTTTTCTTTTTATTCTTTTCTTTTTTCATTTTCTTTTCTCTTTTATTCTTTTCTCATTTGTTTTCATTATTCTTTTTATTCTTTTCTTTTTTTTCTTTTCTCATTTGTTCTTTTCTCTTTATTCTTTTCTTATTTCTTTTTCTTTTCTCTTTTTTATTCTTTTCTCTTTTTGTTCTTTTGTTCTTTTCATTTTTTTCTTTTCTCTTTTATTCTTTTCTCTTTTATTCTTTTTTTTTGTTCTTTTCTCTTTTTATTCTTTCTTTTATTCTTTTCTCATTTGTTCTTTTTTCTTTTATTCTTTTCTCTTTTATTCTTTTCTCTTTTTTTTCTTTTCTTTTTATTTTTTTTTTCTCTTTTCTTTTCTCATTTTTTTTTTTCTTTTATTCTTTTTCTCTTTTTTACTTTTCTCTTTTATTCTTTTTTCATTTTCTTTTCTCTTTTATTCTTTTCTCTTTTATTCTTTTCTCTTTTTTTCTTTCTCTTTTATTTTTTCTCTTTTTGATTTTTCTTTTTATTCTTTTCTTTTATTCTTTTCTCTTTTGTTCTTTTCTCTTTTATTTCTTTTCTTTTTTTTCTTTTTTCTTTTCTTTTTATTCTTTTCTTTTTTATTCTTTTATTCTTTTATTTTTTTTCATTTTTTCTTTTATTCTTTTTTTTTCTTTTCTCTTTTATTCTTTTCTCATTTGTTCTTTTCTCTTTTATTCTTTTTTTTATTTCTCATTTTCTTTTCTCTTTTATTCTTTTCTCTTTTATTTTTTTCTCTTTTTTTTCTTTTTCTTCTTTATTTCTTTTCTCATTTTTTTTTCTCTTTTATTCTTTTCTCTTTTTCTTCTTTTTTATTCTTTTTTATTTTGACTTTTTTCTTTTATTCTTTTCTCTTTTTATTCTTTTTCATTTTTCTCATTTGTTCTTTTTCTCTTTTATTCTTTTCTCCTTTATTCTTTTTCTCTTTTTTTCTTTTTTTCTTTTCTCATTTGTTTTTTTTTATTCTTTTCTCTTTTATTCTTTTCTTTCATTTTTATTCTTTTCTCTTTTATTCTTTTCTCTTTTTTTCTTTTGTTTCTTTTATTTTTTTCTCTTTTATTCTTTTCTCTTTATTCTTTTCTTTTTCTCTTTTATTCTTTTCTCTTTTATTCTTTTCTCTTTTATTCTTTTCTCACATGTTTTTCTTTTATTCTTTTCTCTTTTTCTTTTATTCTTTTCTCTTTATTCTTTTCTTTTTATTCTTTTTCTTTTATTCTTTTATTCTTTTTTCTTTTATTCTTTTCTCTTTTATTCTTTTCTTTTCTTTTTTTTCTTTTCTCTTTTATTCTTTTTCTTTTCTTTTTATTTCTTTTCTTTTTTTTTTCTCTTTTATTCTTTTCTCTTTTTTTCTTTTTATTCTTTTCTCTTTTATTCTTTTCTCTTTTTATTCTTTTCTCTTTATTCTTTTCTTTTTATTCTTTTCTTTCTTTTCTCTTTTATTCTTTTCTCTTTTATTCTTTTCTCTTTTCTCATTTATTCTTTTCTCTTTTTATTCTTTTCTTTTTATTCTTTTCATTTGTTCTTTTCTCTTTTGTTCTTTTCTCTTTTATTCTTTTCTCATTTTTCTTTTCTTTTATTCTTTTCTCTTTTGTCTTTTCTTTTTTTTCTTTTCTTTTTCTTTTTTTTCTCATTTATTCTTTTCTCTTTTATTCTTTTCTCTTTTTCTTCTTTTCTCATTTTTCTTTTCTCTTTTATTCTTTCTTTGTTCTTTTCATTTTCTTTTCTCTTTTCATTTCTTTTTCTTCTTTTCTCTTTACTTCTTTTTGTTCTTTTCTCATTTGTTCTTTTCTCTTTTATTTTTCTCTTTTATTCTTTTCTCTTTTTTCTCATTTCTTTTTCTCTTTTATTCTTTTCTCTTTTTCTTTTCTCTTTTATTCTTTTCTCTTTTATTTTTTTTCTTTTTATTCTTTTCTCTTTTGTTCTTTTTCTTTTTTTTTTCTTTCTTTTGTCTTTTTCTTTTTATTATTTTTTTCTTTTTCTTTTATTCTTTTCTTTTTTTCTTTTTCTCATTTATTTCTTTTCTCTTTTCTCATTCTTTTTCTTGTTACTTTTATTCATTCTTTTCTCTTTTGTTCTTTTCTCTTTTATTTTTTTTCTTCTCATTTGTTCTTTTCTCTTTTTATTCTTTTCTCTTTTCTTCTTTTCTCATATTTCTTTTCTCATTTTATTTTTTCTTTTCTCTTTTCTCGCCTTTTCTTTTCTTCTTTTTCTCATTTATTTTTTTCTCTTTTTTATTCTTTTCTCTTTTTGTTTTTTTCTCTTTTGTTCTTTTCTCTTTTATTCTTTTCTCTTTTATTCTTTTCTTTTTTATTCTCTCTTCTCTTTTGTTCTTTTCTCTTTTATTCTTTTCTCTTTTATTCTTTCTCTTTTATTCTTTTCTCATTGTTCTTTATTCTTTTCTTTGTTCTTTCTCTTTTATTCTTTCTCATTTTCTTTTCTCTTTTATTCTTTCTTTATTCTTTTATTATTAGCTTTTCTCTTTTATTTTTATTCTTTTCATTTATTCTCTCTTTTATTCTTTTCTCTTTTATTCTTTTCTCATATTTCTTTTCTCTTTATTACTTTTCTCTTTTATTCTTTCTCATATATTTCTTTTCTCTTTTAAAGAATTCTTTTTATTTTTCTTTTATTCTTTTTCATTTATTCTTTTCTTTTATTCATTTTCTTTTTATTTTTTTCATTAGTGAGAAACAAATGCAATTCTTTTCCATTTTGTCTGATTTATATTCCCTCTATTCTTTTTCTCTTTCTTCATTTTCGTATCCCTTTTTGCTATTTGTAATAGCGTATAGTGGGAAACAAATGCAATTCTTTCCATTTTTGTCTGATTTACATTCCCTCTATTCTTTCTCTTTCTTCATTTTCGTATCCCTTTTGCTATTTGTAATGGCGTATAGTGAGAAACAAATGCAATTCTTTTTCCATTTTTGTCTGATTTACATTTCCTCTATTCTTTTCTCTTTCTTCATTTCGCATCCCCTTTTGCTATTTGTAATGGCGTATAGTGAGAAACAAATGCAATTTTTCCATTTTTGTCTGATTTACATTCCTCTATTCTTTTTTCTCTTTCTTCATTTTCGCATCCCTTTTTGCTATTTGTAATGGCGTATAGTGAGAAACAAATGCAATTCCATTTTTTGTCCATTTTGTTCCCTCAATTTACATTTCCCTCAATTCTTTTTGTAATGGCGTTTTCTTCATTTTTGTCGATTTATCCCCTTTTTTTTCTTTATTTTCGTATCCCCTTTTTGTTATAGAGAAACAAATGCAATTCTTTCCATTTTTGTCTGATTTACATTCCCTCTATTCTTTTTCTCTTTCTTCATTTTCGTATCCCCTTTTGCTATTTGTAATGGCGTATAGTGAGAAACAAATGCAATTCTTTCCATTTTTGTCTGATTTACATTCCCTCTATTCTTTTTCTCTTTCTTCATTTTCGCATCCCTTTGCTATTTGTAATTATATTGTATAGTAGAAACAAATGCAATTCTTTCCAATTTGTCTGATTTACATTCCTTTTCTTTTCCATTTTTATCCCTTTTGATTTACAAAATGCAATTCTTTCCATTTTGTCTGATTTACATTCCCTCAATTTTTTCTCTTCTTCATTTTCGTATCCCCTTTGCTATTTGTAATTATGTATAGTGAGAAACAAATGCAATTCTTTCCATTTTTGTCTGATTTACATTCCTCTATTCTTTTTCTTTTCTTCATTTTCGCATCCCCTTTTGCTATTTGTAATTGGCGTATAGTGAAAAAAAATGCAATTCTTTCCATTTTTGTCTGATTTACATTCCCTCTATTCTTTTCTCTTTCTTCATTTTCGTATCCCTTTTTGCTATTTGTAATGGCGTATAGTGAGAAACAAATTCAATTCTTTCCATTTTTCTGTTTGATTTATTCTTTTCTCTTCATTTTGTCGCATCCTTTTTTCTATTTGTAATGGCGTATAGTGAGAAACAAATGCAATTCTTTCCATTTTGTCTGATTTATATTCCTCTATTCTTTTTTGTCTTTTCTTCAATTTCGTATCCCTTTCTTTTTCGCTATTTTGTAATGGCGTATAGTGAGAAACAAATGCAATTCTTTCCATTTTTGTCTGATTTACATTCCCTCAATTCTTTTTTCTCTTTCTTCATTTTCGTATCCTTTTTGCTATTTGTAATGGCGTATAGTGAGAAACAAAATGCAATTCTTTCCATTTTTGTCTGATTTACATTCCCTCTTCTCTTTTTCTCTTTCTTCATTTTCACATCCCTTTTATTATTTGTAATGGCGTATAGTGAGAAACAAATGCAATTCTTTCCATTTTGTCTGATTTACATTCCCTCTATTCTTTTTCTCTTTCTTCATTTTCGCATCCCTTTTGCTATTTGTAATGGCGTATAGTGAGAAAACAAATGCAATTCTTTCCATTTTTGTTCCTCTATTCTTTTCTCTTTCTTCATTTCGTATCCCCTTTGCTATTTGTTTATAGTGAAAACAAATGCAATTCTTTTTTTTGTTTTCGTATCCCTCTATTCTTTTCTCTTTCTTCATTTTGTCGTATCCCCCTTTTGCTATTTGTAATGGCGTATAGTGCAAATATTTTGTCTGATTTACATTCCCTCTATTCTTTTCTCTTTCTTCATTTTCGTATCCCCTTTTTTTCTATTTGTAATGGCGTATAGTGAGAAACAAATTCCTTCTTTTTCTCTTTTTGTTTCGATTTACATTTGTAATCTATTCTTTTTTCCATTTCTTCATTTTCGCATCCCCTTTTTCATTATTTGTAATGGGCGTATAGTGAGAGAAACAAATGCAATTCTTTCCATTTTTGTCTGATTTACATTCCCTCTATTCTTTTCTCTTTCTTCATTTTCGCATCCCTTTTTATTTGTAATGGCGTATAGTGAGAAACAAATGCAATTCTTTCCATTTTGTCTGATTTACATTCCCTCTATTCTTTTCTCTTTTCTTCATTTTCGCATCCCTTTTTGCTATTTGTAATGGCGTATAGTGAGAAACAAATGCAATTCTTTTCCATTTTGTCTGATTTACATTCCCTCTATTCTTTTTCTTTTCTTCATTTTCGCATCCCCTTTTGCTATTTGTAATATTATGTTCTTTCCAGTTTTGTCTGAAACAAATGCAATTCTTTCCATTTTTGTCTGATTTACATTTCCCATCTATTCTTTTCTTTTCTTTTTCATTTTCGTATCCCTTTTTGCTATTTGTAATGGCGTATAGTGAGAAACAAATGCAATTCTTTCCATTTTTGTCTGATTTACATTCCCTATTCTTTTTCTCTTTCTTCATTTTCGCATCCCTTTTGCTATTTGTAATATGTATAGTGAGAAACAAATGCAATTCTTTCCATTTTTGTCTGATTTACATTCCCTCTATTCTTTTTCTCTTTCTTCATTTTCGCATCCCCTTTTGCTATTTGTAATGGCGTATAGTGAGAAACAAATGCAATTCTTTCCATTTTTGTCTGATTTACATTCCCTCTATTCTTTTTCTCTTTCTTCATTTTCGCATCCCCTTTTGCTATTTGTAATGGCGTATAGTGAGAAAAAATGCAATTCTTTCCATTTTGTCTGATTTATTCCCTCTATTCTTTTCTCTTTCTTCATTTTCGCATCCCTTTTTGTTTGATTATAGTGGCAAATGCAATTCTTTCCATTTTTTGTCTGATTTACATTCCCTCTATTCTTTTCTCTTTCTTCATTTCGTATCCCCTTTTGCTATTTGTAATGGCGTATAGTGAGAAACAAATGCAATTCTTTCCATTTTGTCTGATTTACATTCCTCTATTCTTTTCTCTTTCTTCATTTTCGCATCCCCCTTTTGCTATTTGTAATGGCGTATAGTGAGAAAACAAATGCAATTCTTTTTCCATTTTGTCTGATTTACATTCCTCTATTCTTTTCTCTTTCTTCATTTTCGTATCCCCTTTTGCTATTTGTAATGGCGTATAGTGAGAAACAAATGCAATTCTTTCCATTTTTGTCTGATTTACATTCCCTCTATTCTTTTTCTCTTTCTTCATTTTCGCATCCCCTTTTGCTATTTGTAATGGCGTATAGTGAGAAACAAATGCAATTCTTTCCATTTTTGTCTGATTTACATTCCCTCTATTCTTTTTCTCTTTCTTCATTTTCGTATCCCCTTTTGCTATTTGTAATGGCGTATAGTGAGAAACAAATTTCTTTCCATTTTGTCTGATTTACCCCTTTTCTCTTTCTTCATTTTCGTATCCCGCTATTTGTTATGGCGTATAGTGAAACAAATTCAATTCTTTCCATTTTTGTCTGATTTACATTCCTCTATTCTTTTTTTTCTTTCTTCATTTTCGCATCCCCTTTTGCTATTTGTAATGGCGTATAGTGAGAAAAAATGCAATTCTTTCCATTTTTGTCTGATTTACATTCCCTCTATTCTTTTCTCTTTCTTCATTTTCGCATCCCCTTTTGCTATTTGTAATGGCGTATAGTGAGAAACAAATGCAATTCTTTCCATTTTGTCTGATTTACATTCCCTCTATTCTTTTCTCTTTCTTCATTTTCGCATCCTCTTTTGCTATTTGTAATGGCGTATAGTGAGAAACAAATGCAATTCTTTCCATTTTTGTCTGATTTACATTCCCTCTATTCTTTTTCTCTTTCTTCATTTCGCATCCCCTTTTGCTATTTGTAATGGCGTATAGTAGAAACAAATTCTTTCCATTTTGTCTGATTTACATTCCTCTATTCTTTTTTCTCTTTCTTCATTTTCGTATCCCTTTTGCTATTTGTAATGGCGTATAGTGAGAAAACAAATGCAATTCTTTCCATTTTTGTCTGATTTACATTCCCTCTTTCTTTTTTCGCATCTTTTCTGTTTGTATTTTATCCCCTTTTTTCTATTTGTAATTTACATTTATAGTGAGAAACAAAATGCAATTCTTTCCATTTTTTGTCTGATTTTTTCTTCCCTCTATTCTTTTCTCTTTCTTCATTTTCGCATCCTTTTGCTATTTGTAATGGCGTATAGTGAGAAACAAATGCAATTCTTTCCATTTTGTCTGATTTACATTCCCTCTATTCTTTTTCTCTTTCTTCATTTTCGCATCCCTTTTGCTATTTGTTTGCGTATAGTGATGGCAATTCTTTCCATAGTGAGAAACAAATTCTTTTTTCTTTCCATTTTTCCTTCTGATTTACATTCCTCTATTCTTTTTTTTGTCTTTACTTTCCCTCATTTTTCTATCCCCCCTTTTGCTATTTGTAATGGCGTATAGTGAGAAACAAATGCAATTCTTTCCATTTTGTCTGATTTACATTCCCTCTATTCTTTTCTCTTTCTTCATTTTTCGCATCCCCTTTTGCTATTTGTAATGCGTATAGAGAAACAAATGCAATTCTTTCCATTTTGTCTGATTTACATTCCCTCTATTCTTTTTTCTTTTTTCATTTTCGTATCCCCTTTTGCTATTTGTAATGGCGTATAGTTTTCTCAAATTTTATTCTTTCCATTTTTCGTCTGATTTACATTCCCTCTATTCTTTTTCTCTTTCTTCATTTTCGCATCCCTTTTTGCTATTTGTAATGGCGTATAGTGAGAAACAAATGCAATTCTTTCCATTTTGTCTGATTTACATTCCCTCTATTCTTTTTCTCTTTCTTCATTTTCGCATCCCCTTTTGCTATTTGTAATGGCGTATAGTGAGAAACAAATGCAATTCTTTCCATTTTGTCTGATTTTACATTCCCTCTATTCTTTTCTCTTTCTTTCATTTTTCGCATCCCCTTTTTGCTATTTGTAATGGCGTATAGTGAGAAACAAATTCAATTCTTTCCATTTTGTCTGATTTACATTCCCCTCTATTCTTTTTCTTTCTTTTCTTCCCCTTTCGCATTTGTTTTGCTATTTGTAATGGCGTATTCTTTTCTCTTTCTTCATTTTGCATCCCCTTTGAGAAACAAATGCAATTCTTTCCATTTTTTGTCTGATTTACATTCCTCTATTCTTTTCTCTTTCTTCATTTTCGTATCCCCTTTTGCTATTTGTAATGGCGTATAGTGAGAACAAATTCAATTCTTTCCATTTTTGTCTGATTTACATTCCTCTATTCTTTTCTCTTTCTTCATTTTCAAATCCCTTTTGCTATTTGTAATGGCGTATAGTTAAAACAAATGCAATTCTTTCCATTTTGTCTGATTTAATTCCCTCTATTCTTTTCTCTTTCTTCATTTCGCATCCCTTTTGCTTATTTGTATTTATAGACGTTGTTTCTTTATTTTTCTTTACATTTCCTCTATTCTTTTCTTTCTTTATTTTCCCTTTTTTTATTTGTAATGGCGTATAGTGAGAAACAAATGCAATTCTTTCCATTTTGTCTGATTTACATTCCTCTATTCTTTTTCTTTCTTCATTTTCGCATCCCCTTTTGCTATTTGTAATGGCGTATAGTGAGAAACAAATGCAATTCTTTCCATTTTTGTCTGATTTACATTCCCTCTATTCTTTTTCTCTTTCTTCATTTTCGCATCCCCTTTTGCTATTTGTAATGGCGTATAGTGAGAAAAACAAATGCAATTCTTTCCATTTTGTCTGATTTACATTCCCTCTATTCTTTTCTTTTCTTCATTTCTTCGTATCCCCTTTTTGCTATTTGTAATGGCGTATAGTGAGAAACAAATGCAATTCTTTCCATTTTTGTCTGATTTACATTCCTCTATTCTTTTCTCTTTCTTCATTTTCGCATCCCTTTTGCTATTTGTAATGGCGTATAGTTAGAAACAAATGCAATTCTTTCCATTTTTTGTCTGATTTACATTCCCTCTATTCTTTTTCTCTTTCTTCATTTTTCATCCCTTTTGCTATTTGTAATGGCGTATAGTGAGAAAACAAATGCAATTCTTTCCATTTTGTCTGATTTACATTCCTCTATTCTTTTTTCTCTTTCTTCATTTTCGCATCCCCTTTTTGCTATTTGTAATGGCGTATAGTGAGAAACAAATGCAATTCTTTTCCATTTTGTCTGATTTACATTCCCTCTATTCTTTTCTCTTTCTTCATTTTCGTATCCCCTTTGCTATTTGTAATGGCATCTATAGTGGAAACAAATGCAATTCTTTCCATTTTTGTCTGATTTACATTCCCACCCTATTCTTTTCTCTTTCTTCATTTTCGCATCCTTTTTGCTATTTGTAATGGCGTATAGTGAGAAACAAATGCAATTCTTTCCATTTTTGTCTGATTTACATTCCTCTATTCTTTTCTCTTTCTTCATTTTCGCATCCTTTTGCTATTTGTAATGGCGTATAGTGAAACAAATGCAATTCTTTTCCATTTTTGTCTGATTTAAATTCCCTCTATTCTTTTTTCTCTTTCTTCATTTTCGTATCCCTTTTTTATTTGTAATGGCGTATAGTGGAAACAAATGCAATTCTTTCCATTTTGTCTGATTTACATTCCTCTATTCTTTTTCTTTCTTCATTTTCGCATCCTTTTGCTATTTGTAATGGCGTATAGTGAGAAAAACAAAATGCAATTCTTTTCCATTTTTGTCTGATTTACATTCCCTCTATTCTTTTTCTCTTTCTTCATTTTCGCATCCTTTTTTGCTATTTTGTATTGGCGTATAGTGAGAAACAAATCTTTTCTTTCCATTTTTGTCTGATTTACATTCCTCTATTCTTTTCTCTTTCTTCATTTCGTATCCCCTTTTTGCTATTTGTAATGGCGTATAGTGAGAAACAAATGCAATTCTTTCCATTTTGTCTGATTTACATTCCCTCTATTCTTTTTCTTCTTCTTCATTTTCATATCCCTTTTGCTATTTGTAATTCGTTTGTTTTTTCTTTCCATTTTGTCTGATTTACATTCCATCTATTCTTTTCTCTTTCTTCATTTTCGCATCCCCTTTTGCTATTTGTAATGGCGTATAGTAAAAACAAATGCAATTCTTTCCATTTTTGTCTGATTTACATTTCCCTCTATTCTTTTTCTCTTTCTTCATTTTCGTATCCCTTTTGCTATTTGTATTCTTTCCATTTTGTCTGATGTTCCATCTTCTTTTCTCTTTTTCATTTCATCATTTTGTATAATGGCGTATAGTGAAACAAATGCTATTCTTTCCATTTTTGTCTGATTTACATTCCCTCTATTCTTTTCTCTTTTTCATTTTCCATCCCATTTTGCTATTTGTAATTATAGTGAGAAACAAATAAATTCTTTTCCATTTTTTCGATTTTCTTCCCTCTATTCTTTTCTCTTTCTTTCATTTTTCGCATCCCCCATTTGCTATTTTTAATGGCGTATAGTGAAAACAAATGCAATTCTTTCCATTTTTGTCTGATTTACATTCCTCTATTCTTTTCTCTTTCTTCATTTTCGTATCCCTTTTGCTATTTGTAATGGCGTATAGTGAGAAACAAATGCAATTCTTTTCCATTTTTGTCTGATTTACATTCCTCTATTCTTTTCTCTTTCTTCATTTCGCATCCCCCTTTTGCTATTTGTAATTGCGTATAGTGAGAAACTTTTTCAATTCTTTCCATTTTGTCTGATTTACATTCCCTCTTTCTTTTCTCTTTCTTCATTTTTTAGTATCCCCTTTGCTATTTTTGTAATGGCGTATAGTGAGAAACAAATGCAATTCTTTCCATTTTGTCTGATTTATTCTTTCTCTTTTATTCTTTTCTCTTTTATTCTTTCTCTTTTATTCTTTCTCTTTTATTCTTTCTCTTTTATTCTTTCTCTTTTTTATTCTTTCTCTTATTCTTTCTCTTTTTATTCTTTTTCTCTTTTATTCTTTTCTCTTTTTATTCTTTTCTCTTTTTATTCTTTCTCTTTTATTCTTTCTCTTTTATTCTTTCTCTTTTATTCTTTTCTCTTTTATTGCTCTTTTATTCTTTCTCTTTATTCTTTCTCTTTTATTCTTTCTCTTTTGTTCTTTTCTCTTTTATTTGTTTTTTTCTCTTTTATTCTTTCCTCTTTTTATTCTTTCTCTTTTTATTCTTTTCTCTTTTATTCTTTTCTCTTTTATTCTTTCTGCACTATTCTTTCTCTTTTATTCTTTCTCTTTTTATTCTTTCTCTTTTATTCTTTCTCTTTTTATTCTTTCTCTTTTATTCTTTTCTTTTTTTTTTCTTTTCTGCCTTATTCTTTTTCTCTTTTTGCTTTTTCAGTTTTTTTCTATTTTCTATTTTTTTTTTTTCCTTTTCTGTCCTTTATTTTCTTTTTTCCTTTCCTGCCTCTGTCCTTTTATTCTTTTCTTTTTTCAATGTTTTTTAACTTTTTCATGGTCTGCATATTTCCTTTTGTTTTTTCCTTTTCTGCTTTTTCAGTTTTTCTTTTCTATTTTAACTTTTTCATGGTCTGCTATTTTCTTTTTTTTTTTCCTGCCTCTGTCCTTTTATTCTTTTCTTTTATCAATGTTTTAGCTTTCTGCATATTTCCTTTTGTTTTTCCTTTTCTGCTTTTTCAGTTTTTTCTTTTCTATTTTAACTTTTTTCATGGTCTGCTATTTTCTTTTTTTCCAGTCCTGCCTCTGTCCTTTTATTCTTTTCTTTTTTCAATGTTTTAGCTTTCTGCATATTTCCTTTTGTTTTTCCTTTTCTGCTTTTTTCAGTTTTTTCTTTTCTATTTTAACTTTTTTCATGGTCTGCTATTTTCTTTTTTTTCCTGTCCTGCCTCTGTCCTTTTATTCTTTTCTTTTATCAATGTTTTAGCTTTCTGCATATTTCCTTTTTTTTTTTTTTCTGCTTTTTCAGTTTTTTCTTTTTCTATTTTAACTTTTTCATGGTCTGCTATTTTCTTTTTTCCTGTCCTGCCTCTGTCCTTTTTTCATTCTTTTTCTTTTTTCAATGTTTTAGCTTTCTGCATATTTCCTTTTTTTTTTCCTTTTCTGCTTTTTTCAGTTTTTTTTCTTTTCTATTTTAACTTTTTTTCATGGTCTGCTATTTTCTTTTTTTTTCCTGTCCTGCCTCTGTCCTTTTATTCTTTTCTTTTTTCAATGTTTTAGCTTTCTGCATATTTCCTTTTGTTTTTCCTTTTCTGCTTTTTCAGTTTTTTCTTTTCTATTTTAACTTTTTCATGGTCTGCTATTTTCTTTTTTTTCCTGTCCTGCCTCTGTCCTTTTATTCTTTTCTTTTATCAATGTTTTAGCTTTCTGCATATTTCCTTTTGTTTTTCCTTTTCTGCTTTTTCAGTTTTTTCTTTTCTATTTTAACTTTTTCATGGTCTGCTATTTTCGTTTTTCCTGTCCTGCCTCTGTCCTTTTATTCTTTTCTTTTATCAATGTTTTAGCTTTCTGCATATTTCCTTTGTTTTCCTTTTCTGCTTTTTTCCTTTTTTCTTTTCTATTTTAACTTTTTCATGGTCTGCTATTTTCTTTTTTTTTTTCCTGCCTCTGTCCTTTTATTCTTTTCTTTTTTCAATGTTTTAGCTTTCTGCATATTTCCTTTTGTTTTTCCTTTTCTGCTTTTCAGTTTTTCCTTTTTCTATTTTAACTTTTTCATGGTCTGCTATTTTTTTTTTTTCCTTCCTGCCTCTGTCCTTTTATTCTTTTCTTTTATCAATTTTTAGCTTTCTGCATATTTCCTTTTGTTTTTCCTTTTTGTGCTTTTTCAGTTTTTTTCTTTTCTATTTTAACTTTTTTCATGGTCTTTCTATTTTCTTTTTTTCAGTCCTGCCTCTGTCCTTTTATTCTTTTCTTTTTTCATTTTTAGCTTTCTGCATTTTTTTTGCTTTTTTTTTTTTCCTTTTCTGCTTTTTTTCATTTTTTTCTTTTCTTTTTAACTTTTTTTTTCTGGTCTTTTTTTTTTTTTTTTTTCCTTTCCTGCCTTTTTACTTTATTCTTTTTTTTTTTTCATTTTTTAACTTTTGCATATTTTTCTTTTCCTTTTTCTGCTTTTTTTTTTTCTTTTTACTTTTAACATTTTTTCCTTTTTCTTTTTTTTTTTTCTTTTTTTTTTTCCTGCATTTTTTCTTTTTTTTTTTTTTCTTTTTATTTTTCAATCCTTTTTGCTTTCTGCATTTTTTCCTTTTTTTTTTACTTTTCTGCTTTTTCATTTTTTCTTTTTCTATTTTTTTCTTTTTCTGGTTTGCTTTTTCTTTTTTTTCCTGTCCTTCCCTTTGTCCTTTTTTTCTTTTCTTTTTTTTCAATTTTTAGCTTTCTGCATTTTTCCTTTTTTTTTCCTTTTTTTTTTCCATTTTTTTTTTTTATTTTTTACTTTTTCCTTTTCTGCTTTTTTTCCTTTTTTTTTTCCCTTTTTCTTTCCTTTTTTTCTTTTCTTTTTCAATTTTTTCGCTTTTTCCATTTTTCCTTTTTCTTTTTTCCTTTTTTGCTTTTTTTTTTAACAGTTTTTTCCTTTCTGTTTTTTTTTTTTTGCTTTTTTCTTTTTTCCTGTTTTTTCCTTTTTTTTTTTTTTTTTCAATTTTTAGCTTTTTTGCATTTTTCCTTTTTGTTTTTTCCTTTTCTGCTTTTTTTAGTTTTTTTTCTATTTTTTTTTCATGGTCTGCTTTTTCTTTTTTTCCTGTCCTTTTTCCTTTTTTTTTTTTTTTTTTTTTTTTAATTTTCTGCATTTTCCATTTGTTTTTTCTTTTCTGCTTTTTCCTTTTTTTCTTTCCTTTTTTAACTTTTTTCATTTTCAGTTTCCTTTTTTTTTTGTTTCCTGCCTTTTCCCTTTTGTCCTTTTCTTTTATTTTTGTTTTTTTTTTTTTTTTTTTTTTTTTCCTTTTTATTTTTTTCAGTTTTTTTTTTTTTCCTTTGCTTTTTTTCATTTTCTGCTTTTTTATTTTCCTGTCCTTTTCTGTTTTTTTATTTTTTTTTTTTTCAATTATTTTTTCATTTTTTCCTTTTGTTTTTTCTTTTTTTTTTTTTTTTTCTTTTTTATTTTAACTTTTCATTTTTTCCTTTTTTTTTTTTTTTTGTCCTGCTTTGTCCTTTTATTCTTTTTCTTTTTCAATTTTTTAGCTTTTGCATTTTTCCCCATTTGTTTTCTTTTCTGCTTCTTCTTTTTCTTTTCTTATTTTTTTCCTTTTTTTCATTTTCTTTTTTTTCTTTTTTTTCCTTTTTTCTGTTTTTTATTTTTTTCTTTTTCTTTGTTTTAGCTTTCTCTTTTTTCTTTTTTTTTTCCTTTTTGTTTTTTTTTTTTTTTTCTTTTCGTTTCTTTTTTTTCTTTTTTCTTTTTTTTTCAGTTTCTACCTCTTTCCTTTTTTTTCTTTTTTCTTTTCTTTTTTTTTTTTCCATTTTCCTTTTTTTTTTCCTTTTTCTGCTTTTTCCTTTTTTTTTTCTATTTTAACTTTTTCTTTGGTTTCTTTATTTTCTTTTTTTTCCAATCCTTTTTCTGTTTTTTTTTTTCTTTTTCTTCTTTTTTTTCCTTTTGTTTTTTTTTTTTTTTTTTTTTTTTTTTTTTTTCTTTTTCTTTTTCATTTTTCTTTTTTTTTTTTTTCCTATTTCTTTTTTCTTTTTTTTTTTTTTTTTTGCTTTTTTCTTTTTTTTTTCTTTTTCCTTTTTTGCTTTTTTTTTCTTTTTTTTTCTTTCTATTTTTTCGTTTTCATTTTGCTATTTTTTTTTTTTTTTTTCCTTTTTTTCCTTTTTTTCTTTTTTTTTTCATTTTTTTATTTTTCATTTTTTCCTTTCCTTTGCTTTTTCCTTTTTCTGTTTTTTCAGATTTTTTTTTCTATTTTAACTTTTTCTTTTTGCTATTTTCTTTTTTTTTTTTTTTTTATTTTCCCTTCTTTTCTTTTTTTTTTTTTTCCTTTTTTCATTTTTTTTCTCTTTTTTTTTCATTTTTTTCTTTTCTAATTTTTCTTTTTTTTTCCATTTCTTTTTTTTTTTTTTTTTTCTTTTCTGTTTTTTTTTTTTTCTCTTTTTTCTTTTTTTTTTTTTTTCATTTTTTTTTTTTTCTTTTTGCTTTTTCATTTTTCTACTTTTTTCATTTTTTTCTTTTTTCATTTTTGTTTTTTTTACTTTTTTTTCTCCTTTTTTGTTGTTTTTCCTTTTTTTTTTTTTTTCTTTTTTTCCTTTTCTTTTTTTTTCCTTTATTTTTCATTTTTTTTTTTTTTTTCTGGTTTTTCAGATTTTTCTTTTTATTTTTTTTTTCCTTTTCTGTTTGTTTTCTTTTCTTTTTTCCTTTTTCTGCTTTTTTCTTTTTCTTTTTTTTTTTTTCCTTTTCTAAAAATTTCTTTTTCTTTTGTTTTTTTTTTTCTGCCTTTTCCTTTTTTCCCTTTTCTGGTTTTCTTTTTTTTTTTTTTTTTTTTTTTTCCTTTCATGCTTTTCCTTTATTTTTTTCCTTTTTTTTTTATTTCCTTTTTTTTTTTTTGCTTTTCCTTTTCTTTTCCTTTTTTCATTTTTTCAGTTTTTTTTCTTTTCCTTTTTGCCTTTCCTTTTCCTTTTTTTTCTTTTTTCCTTTTGCTTTTTCTTTTTTTTTTTTCTTTTTCCTTTTTCTTTTTTTTTCCTTTTTTTTTTTTTTTTCTTTTTTCCTTTTCTTTTTCCTTTTTTTCTTTTTCCTTTTTTTTACTTTTTTTTTTCTATTTCTGTTTTTCCTTTTCATGCTTTTTCCTTTTTTTTTTTCTGCTTTTTATTTTTTTTCCTTTTTCGCCTTTTCTGCTTTTTTTCTTTTCTTCTTTTCTTTTTATTTTCTTTTTATACTTTTTTTTTTGGTCTTTCTTTTTTTTTTTTTCTTTTGTCCTTTTTCTTTTTCTGCCTTCTTTCTTTGTTTTCTTTTTTTATTTTTTTTTTTATTTTCTTTTTTTTTCCTTTTTTCCATTTCTGCTTTTTTTTGATTTTTTCTTTTCCCTTTTTCCTTTTTCATTTGTTTCTCCTTTTTTTTGTTTTTTTCATTTTTTATTTTTACTTTTTTTCTCCTTTTTTTTTTTTTTCTCACTTTTTTTCTATTTTTTTCTTTTTCATTTTTTACTTTTAACATTTTTTCATTTCTCCTTTTCCTTTTTCTTGGTTTTTGTTTTTCCATTTCTGCTTTTTTCATTTTTTTTTTTTCTTTTCTGCTTTTTTTTCAGTTTTTCATTTTTCTTTTTTCTCTTTTTTCTTTTTTCTTTTTCTCTTTTTTTTTCTTTTTCTCCATTTTCTTTTTTTTTTTGCATTTTTTTTTCTTTTCTTCCTTTTTTTTCACTTTTCTCATTTTTTTTCATTTTCCATTTTCTTTTTCCTTTTTCTTTTCCTTTTCTGCTTTTTTTTCCCTTTTGATTGTTTGATTTTTCATTTTTTTTTACTTTTCTGCTTTTTCTTCATTTTTCTTTTCTGTTTTTTTTTCTTTTTTTTTTTTTTTTTCCTTTTTCCATTTTTCTTTTTTTATTGTTTTTGTTTTTTCTTCTTTTGCTTTTTTTTTTCATTTTATTTTTTTTTTCCTTCTATTTCAGTTTTTCCTTTTTCTTTTTTCTTTTCTGCTTTTTTTTTTTTTATATTTTTTCATTTTTTTTTTTTTTGGTTTTGCACTTTTGTCCTTTCTGCCTTTTCTTTTTTCCATTTTTTCCTTTTCAGCCTTTTTTACTTCTTATTTTTTCCTTTTCTTGCATTTTCCATTTTTTTTCTTTTAAAAAAAAATAGAAAAAGATTTTTTTCATTTTTGTTCTTTTCCACTTTTTTCTCTTTCATATTTTTCCCTTTTTTTACATTTTTCTATTTTTTTCATGGTTTTTTTCCATATTTTTCTTTTCTTTATTTTTTTATTTTTTTTTCTCATTTGTTGCGTTTTCCATTTTTAATTTTTTTGCTTTTCTGTTTTATATATTTTCTTTTTCTCCATTTTCCTCTTTTTCTTTTTTTCTCTTTTTTTTTTACTATTTTTTCTTTTTTTTTTTTTTTTTTATTTCCGATTTTGCTCTTTTTTTATTTTTACCTTTTTATTTTTGTTCTTACTTTTCTGTTTTTTTTTTTTTCCTTTTCTGCTTTTTTTAAACTTTTTTTTTTTCATATATTTTCCTTTTTTTTTTTTCTTTTTTTTTTTTTTCTTTTTTCCTTTTCTGCTTTTTCCTTTTTCCATTTTTTCTTTATTTCTCCTTTTCACCATTGTTCCTTTTTTACTTTTCCTGCGTTTTGCATTTTTGCTTCTTTTTTTTTTTTTTCCTTTTTATTTTTCCTTTTTCTGCATTTTCTTTTTTACGTTTTTCCTTTTCTACTTTTTGTCCCTTTTTTCCTTTTCTGCATTTTTACATTTTTCATTTTTCTTCTTTTCCTATTTTTGTTTCTTTTTTCTTTTTAGTCCTTTTATTCTTTCTCTGCTTTTTTCTATTTCTCCGTTATATTTTTTTTTTTCTACTTTTCCCTTTTCCTTTGCTTTTCATTTTCCTTTTTTTTCCTTTTCTGCACTTTTCAATTTTTTACTATTTTTTTTCCCATTTTGCTTTTTTCCTCCTTTTTCTTTTAATTTTCTTTTTTCTTTTTTTCTTTCTGCTTCTTCCTTTTTTTCACTTTCTGCATTTTATCTTTTTTTACTATTTTCATTTTCCATTTTTCTGATTTTGCTCTTTTTCTCTGTTGCTCCTGCTTTTTTTTTTTTTGGCTCCTTCCATTATTTTTTACTTTTTTAGTTTTTCTCTTTTTTCTTTACTTTTTCTCTTTCTGTTATTTTCTATTTTTTCCTTTTTTTTCCATTTTTATTTTTCCATTTTCTGGATTTTTTTCATTTTCTTTTTTTTCTAATTCATCCGTTTTTGTCACTTTCTGATTTTTTCTGTTTTTTCACTTTTTTAACCTTTTCTGTTCGTTTATGTATTTTTCATTTTTTTTTTCTGCTTTTTCATTTTTTTTTTTAACTGATTTTTTTCCCTTTCTTTCTGTGCTTCTGTTTTTTAGTTTTTTCTTTATATCTGATGGTTTCTGTTATTCCTTATTTTCCATTTCTTCTTTTTATTCTACCATTTTCTATTTCTTCTTTTGAGGTTTCGTTTTTTCCTTTTTCGTTTTTTTTACACTTTTCAATTTCTAATTTTCCCATTTTTCCTTTTTTCCTTTTTTTCAGCTTTTTCCATTTTCTTTTTCTTTTTCCAATTTTTTCGTTTTTCTTTTTTTTACTTTTTTCTTCCTTTTATCTTTTCTGCTTTTTCATTTTCTATTTTTATTTCTTTTTTTTTTTTTCATTTTTATTTTCTCTTCTCGATTTTTTTCACTATATTTGCTTTTAGCATTTTTCCATTTTTTCTTTTCTTTTTCCTTTTCTTAAATTTTTTTCTTTTAGCTTTGTTCTTTTGCTGCTTTTTTATCTTTTTTAAATTTCTCGCTTTCTTTTTTTTTTCTTTTTTTTTTTTAATATTTCTGCCTTTCCTTTTCCTTTTATACTTTTTCCTTTTTTGTCTTTTTCCTCCATTTCTGCTTTTTGCTTTTTCTGTCCTTTTTTTTTTTTATTCTTTTTTCATTTTTGCCTTTTCCTTTTCATACTCCTTTTCTTTCCTTATTTCCTTTTTGCGTTTTTCCTTTTTTTTCTCCTTTTTTTTTTTATTTCTTTTCCTTTTCTCCTTTTCCTAATTTGCCTTTTTTCCTTTATTTTTTTTCCTTTTTTTTCAATTTGCTTTTTACTTTTTCGTTTCTGCTTTTCTGAATCATCTTTTTGCACTTTTAATTTAATTTGCTTCTTCTTCTTTTTTTTTTAGCATACTTGGTTTTTTCCTTTTATACCTTTTAGCTTTTTTTAATTTTCCTTCATGTTCTTCTTTTTCCTTAATTAATTTTTCTGACTCAATTTTGTTTTACTTTTCCCTTCAACAACAATCCCTCTTCTGCTTTTCCTTTTTCCATTTCTTTCCTTTTTTCTTCTTTTTTAGTGATTTTCCTTTTTTCTGCCTTTAATAATTTTTTTTAAATTTCTCTTTTTTTTATATTCTCACTATTTATATATTGTTCTATTTTTTATTTTTTCATTTTCGAAATTTTTTTCCTTTTCTGCTTTTTTTTAATATTTCTGCTTTTCTGTTTTTTTGTTTCTTTTTTTATTATTTTTTTTTCTTTTTTCTAATCGATTTACCTCTTCTGTTTTCTTTTTTTATCTTTATTCTTTTCTTTTTTTTTCTCTTTTCATCTTTTTTTTTTCATTTTTTTCTTTTTTTTTTTTTTTCTTTTTCTTTCTTTTTCATCTTTTTTATTCTTTTTTTCTTTTTTCTATTCTTTTTTTCATCTTTATTCTTTTTTCATCTTTTTTTTCTTTTTCTTTTTCATCTTTTTCATCTTTTTTTTCTTTTTTCATCTTTTTTATTCTTTTTCTTTTATTCTTTTTTCATCTTTTTTATTCTTTTTTCATCTTTTTTATTCTTTTTTCATCTTTTTTATTCTTTTTTCATCTTTTTTATTCTTTTTTCATCTTTTTTATTCTTTTTTCATCTTTATTCTTTTTTCATCTTTATTCTTTTTTCATCTTTTTTCATCTTTTTTATTCTTTTTTCATCTTTTTTATTCTTTTTTCATCTTTTTTATTCTTTTTTCATCTTTTTATTCTTTTTTTTTTCTTTTTCTTCTTTTTTCTTTTCTTCTCTTTTCCTTTTCTTCTTTTCTTTTTCTTTTTGTTTTTTTATTTCTTTTTTCTTTTTTATTTTTTCTTTTATTCTTTTTCTCTTTTATTCTTTCTCTTTTTATTCTTTCTCTTTTATTCTTTCTCTTTTATTCTTTCTCTTTTATTCTTTTATCTTTTATTCTTTTCTCTTTTTATTCTTTCTCTTTTTTTTTCTTTCTTTTTTATTCTTTTTCTCTTTTTATTCTTTCTCTTTTTATTCTTTCTCTTTTTTATTCTTTCTCTTTTATTCTTTTTTTCTTTTTATTCTTTCTCTTTTATTCTTTCTCTTTTTTTCTTTCTCTTTTTATTCTTTTCTCTTTTTATTCTTTCTCTTTTATTCTTTCTCTTTTATTCTTTTTCTCTTTTATTCTTTCTCTTTTTATTCTTTTTTTTTTATTCTTTCTCTTTTATTCTTTCTCTTTTATTCTTTCTCTTTTTTATTCTTTCTCTTTTATTCTTTCTCTTTTATTCTTTCTCTTTTTTATTCTTTCTCTTTTTTTATTCTTTCTTTTCTTTCTTTTTCTCTTTTATTCTTTCTCTTTTATTCTTTCTCTTTTTCTTTCACTCTTTTTATCTTTCTCTTTTTATTCTTTTTCTTTTATTTTTTCTTTCTTTCTCTTTTTATTCTTTTCTCTTTTATTCTTTCTCTTTTTTTCTTTTTCTTTTTATTCTTTTCTCTTTTTTTCCTTTCTCTTTTATTCTTTCTCTTTTATTCTTTCTCTTTTATTCTTTCTCTTTTATTCTTTCTCTTTTATTCTTTCTCTTTTATTCTTTTCTCTTTTATCTCTTTCTCTTTTTATTCTTTTTCTTTTCAAACTCTTTTATTCTTTCTCTTTTATTCTTTCTCTTTTATTCTTTCTCTTTTTATTCTTTCTCTTTTATTCTTTCTCTTTTATTCTTTCTCTTTTTATTCTTTCTAATTTTTATTCTTTCTCTTTTATTCTTTCTTTTATTCTTTCTTTTTATTCTTTCTTTTTATTCTTTCTCTTTTTATTCTTTTCTCTTTTATTCTTTTTTATTCTTTTCTTTTCCCTTTCTCTTTTATTCTTTCTCTTTTTATTCTTTCTCTTTTATATTCTTTCTCTTTTTATTCTTTCTCTTTTATTCTTTCTCTTTTTTTTTTCTCTTTTATTCTTTTCTTTTATTCTTTCTCTTTTTATCTTTCTCTTTTATTCTTTCTCTTTTATTCTTTCTCTTTTATTCTTTCTCTTTTTATTCTTTCTCTTTATTCTTTCTCTTTTTTCTTTCTCTTTATTCTTTCTCTTTATTCTTTCTCTTTATTCTTTCTCTTTATTCTTTCTATGTTTTCTTTCTCTTTATTCTTTCTCTTTATTCTTTCTCTTTATTCTTTCTCTTTATTCTTTCTCTTTTATTCTTTTCTCTTTTATTCTTTCTCTTTTTTATTCTTTCTCTTTTATTCTTTCTCTTTTTATTCTTTTATCTTTTATTCTTTCTCTTTTATTCTTTCTCTTTTTGATTCTTTCTCTTCTTTATTCTTTCTCTTTTTTTCTTTCTCTTTTATTCTTTCTCTTTTTATTCTTTCTCTTTTTTCTTTCTCTTTTTTTCTTCTCTTTTTCTTTTTATCTTTTTATTCTTTCTCTTTTATTCTTTCTCTTTTTATTCTTTCTATTTTCTCTTTTATTCTTCATCTTTTTTTATTCTTTTCTCTTTTTATTCTTTCCTTTTATTCTTTTATTTTATTTTTCTCTTTTATTCTTTCTCTTTTTATTCTTTCTCTTTTATTCTTTCTCTTTTATTCTTTCTCTTTTTATTCTTTCTCTTTTTATTCTTTCTCTTTTATTCTTTCTCTTTTATTCTTTCTCTTTTATTCTTTCTCTTTTTTTCTTTTTCTCTTTTATTCTTTTCTCTTTTATTCTTTCTCTTTTTTTTTCTTTTATTCTTTAATTCTTTTATTCTTTCTCTTTTATTCTTTCTCTTTTATTCTTTCTCTTTTATTTATTATTTAAACTCTTTTATTCTTTCTCTTTTTATTCTTTCTCTTTTATTCTTTCTCTTTTTATTCTTTCTCTTTTATTCTTTCTCTTTTATTCTTTCTCTTTTATTCTTTTTTTTATTCTTTCTTTTTTATTCTTTCTCTTTTATTCTTTCTCTTTTATTCTTTTTCTTTTTATTCTTTCTCTTTTATTCTTTCTCTTTTATTCTTTCTCTTTTATTCTTTCTCTTTTATTCTTTTTATTTTTTTCTTTCTTTTTTATTTTTTCTCTTTTATTCTTTCTCTTTTATTCTTTCTCTTTTTATTCTTTCTCTTTTTCTTCTTTCTCTTTTATCTATGTTTTTTCTTTTATTCTTTTTCTCTTTCTCTTATTCTTCTCTTTTCTTTTAGTTTTTTTTCTTTTTATTCTTTCTCTTTTATTCTTCTTTTTCTCTTTATTCTTTCTCTTTTATTCTTTCTCTTTTATTCTTTCTCTTTTATTCTTTCTCTTTTATTCTTTTCTCTTTTAAATCTTTCTCTTTTTTTCTTTAAACCACTTTTAATTCTTTTTTATTCTTTTCTCTTTTATTCTTTTCTCTTTATTCTTTCTCTTTTATTCTTTCTCTTTTTATTCTTTCGGCTTTTATTCTTTCTCTTTTTATTCTTTCTCTTTTATTCTTTCTCTTTTTATTCTTTCTCTTTTATTCTTTTCTCTTTTTATTCACTCTCTTTTTACTTTATTTATCTTTTATTCTTTCTCTTTTATTCTTTTCTCTTTTATTCTTTCTCTTTTATTCTTTCTCTTTTATTCTTTCTCTTTTTATTCTTTCTCTTTTATTCTTTTTATTCTTTTATTCTTTTTTTTTATTTATTCTTTCTTTTTTTTTTCTTTTTTCTTTCTCTTTTATTCTTTCTCTTTTATTCTTTTCTCTTTTTTATTCTTTTTTCTTTTTATTTTTTTCTCTTTTATTCTTTCTCTTTTTATTCTTTCTCTTTTTTATTTCTTTTTTCTCTTTTATTCTTTTCTCTTTTATTCTTTCTTTTATTCTTTCTCTTTTATTCTTTCTCTTTTATTTTTACCTTTATTCTTTCTCTTTTATTCTTTCTCTTTTATTCTTTCTCTTTTATTCTTTTTCTTTTATTCTTTCTCTTTTATTCTTTCTCTTTTATTCTTTTTTCTTTTTTCTTTTTTTCTTTTATTCTTTTTCTTTTTATTCTTTCTCTTTTTTTCTTTCTCTTTTTATTCTTTCTCTTTTATTCTTTCTCTTTTATTCTTTCTCTTTTTCTTTTCTTTTTTTCTTTTTTCTCTTTTATTCTTTCTCTTTTATTCTTTCTCTTTTATTCTTTCTCTTTTATTCTTTCTCTTTTATTCTTTCTCTTTTATTCTTTCTCTTTTATTCTTTCTCTTTTATTCTTTCTCTTTTATTCTTTCTCTTTTATTCTTTCTTTTATTCTTTCTCTTTTATTCTTTTCTCTTTTTTATTCTTTCTCTTTTATTCTTTCTCTTTATTCTTTCTCTTTTATTCTTTCTCTTTTTTATTCTTTTCTCTTTTATTCTTTCTCTTTTATTCTTTCTCTTTTATTCTTTCTCTTTTTTTTTCTCTTTTATTCTTTCTCTTTTATTCTTTCTCTTTATTCTTTCTCTTTTATTCTTTTATTCTTTCTTTTATTCTTTCTCTTTTATTCTTTTTCTCTTTTATTCTTTCTCTTTTATTCTTTTCTTTTTTATTCTTTTCTCTTTTA